GTAGGCAGAGAGGACCTCATCAGACCCACAGTTTCCCTTGGTCCACTCAGACCACATGCTCTTGGCCCCTTCATGCCCACCTCCCCATTTTTTTGGGAAGGCCACGCCCTGGGAGGACATGGGGCAGTAGGAGCCTTCCTGGCACCCCAAGAAATATACTGGTTCGTGACTTCTCACCAAGGGCCCTGGGCATTGAGGAGAGTCCAGAAACCCCTGCCCCACCCCCCATTGCACTGAAGAGTGGAGATTGTGCCTACACCTCTGGGCAGATGCTCTGAGCCGGTCTGGTAGTCGCTCAGCATTCCTGGGGGCTGTGGGAATAAGTCAGTGCTTCTCCAGGTGGCGCGATAGGACCTTGAGGGCTGAGCATCTTTTCTGGCTTAGACAGGATGAGGCATGCTGCGGGCTCCATTAGACCACTACCCACGTAGGGCAGGGGCCTGCTTAGCAGATGCTAACTTGCCCACCAGCCCGATGATCAGGTACCTCTCCCTGATGCTGTGATATAGATCAGCCCTCCGGAATTTAGAACTAGCCCAGGGACGTGTGTGTGCACAGTGAGGGCAACCCTAAATTAATGGAATTCATCCTAAGATTAACGTTTTCTAGTTTTCTACTGCCAGGCGGAGTGAGATCTTGAGATATAAACCAAGTCAATAAGAAGTGACATTTATTTGCACACGACACATGTGGATTTCCCATGTATTCCCATTTCACTCATTTACTTCCAAAGGGTTCATTCATTTTACAAATACAAACTTTCAGCGTAAGGAGAAAGAATCATTCTTCTAAAAAGAAAGAAAGAAACCAAAATAGAAAGTACAAATTTCTGAACTTTGTGGCTAAGCCTCACCCGTTCCCATATCATTAACTTCTCGTTTCCACACTGGTGATTTCAGAGTCTTACCATCAGCTGCCCCTTCCCTTCACATCTCCACTGGAGCATCTCCAAACTTCTGCCCCCAAATTCTGCACACGTGGGGAGAGAGGACTGTAAAATCCCTGCTGTAACCCCTAAGCCAGGACTCAGTATGGGCTGAATAAGTCAGTAAGTGAACCAACGAATGCAGGAATTTAAAAAAAAATTTTTTTTTGAGAAATCAGCAAGGTGATCTGTCCACAAGCAATTTTCTTTGATTTGTGAAATTATGTTGGTTTTCTAGAATAGGGGTACACTCACTCCTCCGTGGGGTTCTGAATGAGGGGCTCTCCAGACCTGTTTGCTATTACCCAGTGATCAGGGAGGGAAAGACAAGTTCCTGGCCATGAAAATTCTCTCAACATAGGAGAAGGTGGTGCTCTGTGCAGCGAGAACATGAACAGGTCTGAGGTCCCTTTCAGATTATTCCAGACAGAACCCTCGTCCTCATTCTCCAGGCCCACCTGCTGTCCAATGAAAGGAGGATAAGGAAAGACCTGTTTGCATTGCTGGGGAGAAGGGCAGTCTCTTAGCCACTTTGGTGGAGAATCGCCTCTATGGTCTTATCCCTGACACTCTTCAGGAATCTCACGACTGCTGTTCCGCCTGTGCCCCTCTCTTCTAAGGCCTGAGGTGGCCCCGGGAGATGGCTCGTCTTCCTGCCTTTTGCTTTGGGTGCGGCCGTGATGAGGTACTTGGTCACCATGGCGAGGTGGTAGCTGCGCAGGGCTGCCAGGGCCTCCACGCACTGGTTATAGGCTGTCAGAAGCTGGCTGTTTCCAGAGGACAGGATGTGGTCCCTCAGGGAAGGAGCGGAGTGAATTTCTTCTATGAAGGCCCTATGGGAAGGAGGCATGTAATCCCTCATTCTGTGCAGAAAATCAGCTGAAAGAAACAAGGCAGGGCAATGTCATGAAACAAGGCAGAACGATGCTGTAGCTCCACGTGGAAAGGTAAGAGAGCCTGTCTGCCTTCCCAGACATCAACACAGCAAATGCTGCTGCTGCTCTCCTAACTGCTCATCCTAATAGTGTCTAATCAACTTGGTTGGCTCTTTTGCATACAGACATCAGATCCTCCAAATGTAGATTGGAGATGAGGCAGGAAAAGAAGCAAGCCCATCACAAATAACTAAGATGGAACTAGCTCTACCAGCCAAGATATAAATATTTATCATCTACCAAATGTGGGCAACATATCTTGCTAGTTACACATGAGGTATGTCTACAAATGTAAGGCATGGACCCTTAAACCAATGAGCTAAATACTCTGCTGAATTTTGTTTCCTGAGTGCTTCGTTGTGGAGGGAGTGCTAAGGAAGAGGAAAGTAATAGAGTTTCTGAGGACAGGAAGATAAAGAACGATCAACTGTTTTAGTAACAGCCTCTTGAAGTCAAATTGTTTAAAAATCAAATCAATAGATATTTATGGGAAATACAGGTAGACGAGAGATCATTTACAGGAAACTCATTATGGGATTTATATTAGGCATGGTACGTCAACTACTAACCTCATCAAACCAAAATTCCGTGAAAAGTGATCATGGTTCTATAGAACAGACTTTTGTGGATGAGACTGGACCCTATGACACCGAATTCTAGTCATTTGTTTTTTCTTAATCCAACTTGAAAACTCTGTACCAGGAAGTGCCTTTTTGCAGCTGTTGAACATTAGGCTTGATGCCGGCAGGTAAGGAAAAGAGCCATTTCAAGCTTGTAAAATGGCAGAACCCCTCTTCTGGTCTACGTAGCCTTGGCTTGCGGCCGCACCATTTTTACGGAATGGGCTTCACGGGAGGAGCCCATCCCCATCCCCAGCTGCATCCAGACCTGGCGACATAGTATCACAGCCCTGGATCTGCAGATCTCTCCCCCACTCTACAGAAGCAAGCTACTGCCTAAGGACCCAAACAAAGTTACAGGGAACAGCTGGAAATATAGGAATGTTTTAAGATTTGGAAATAAAACCCAATATTCAGCTGAGCTCTATACTGATTGGCTTGACAGTCCCAGATGGCAGGTGCACAGTCTCCTGGTTGATCTGGAGAAGTATAGACTTCCTGAGAGTTTCATTTACTTACTTGGACATATCAGTTGATAAAAACACCACTGTTCTTCCTCCCTGTTAAGGAAAAAACAAGAAAAAGAAAAACGTCCGACTTACCGCTTTCCTTGCTGTGACGAACACCCAAGAATTCATCAAAGGCATGCAGCACTGTGCTCTGAGCAGCGCTCGCACCGGAGTAATGCAGGGGCTCTTTGGAGACGCCTTCATATAACAACCCCGCAGGCATTGCTGGGTTATCCTTCCAGCTAGGCAAGAGTAAAAGTCAGAGAGAAGAAGTGGGTGCTAGGAGTTAAGAGTATATTTTCTGATATGGAAACAGAGATTGAGTGAGAAAGTGAACACAATTTCAATGGCAAATTTAGGGCAAGAGGCTGGATATCTTTGTAGGATGTGTACTTAAGCATTATCTTGACCCGACTTCCTAACAGGCCAGCCCTTCTCTTTGCTCATATAAAGGACTGTTCCAGAGAAGTAAAAGATATTTAGAGAGAAATCATTGGCATTGGTCCTATGACATGTTTTTGGAAAAATTCAATTATAAAGATGACGTCAGTGCTGATCAACAGGAACCATTAACATAGGGGACCTGGAACAATCTTCACTCCCTCTGCTAATCTCAACCTTGATGACCTTGATGCCCGTAACTCCACAAGTAGAGTTTTGAAAATACATGCGCATGCACACACACACACACACACCCCAAACACCAACACAGACACACAAATATACATACAAATATACACACACATCTTTTCCCTTCCCTAAAAGTTATAGCTATAACAGCTTTCACATTAAACTTCAGTTCTAAATACTACCTAACTTCATGGGAATGCCTTTATCAGATAGTTTGTTGATGGCAGGTGTTAATAATAAGGGTAGCAGCAAAGAGAACACAGTACAGCCATGCAGATCACCAGAATCTACAGTCAAGGACAAGAGGAAGGACCGGAATTAAGGCTCAGATTAAATGGTTTTTCCTTCCTTCTCTCTCCTCTCTTCTCTTCTTTTCTCTCCTCTTCTGTCGCCCTGATTCCACGTCTTCATCTTTTTGTCCTTGAGTCCCCCTCTTCCTGAGGACCCAAGCCACTTTGCTCAGTTCGCTGTCTGACTTTTTATAGGGTCTTGAACCGTCACAGAGTGTATGTGGGTGACTCCACAATGAGACAGTCGGCAGCGCCAAGAACACACCACATCTGCCCTTACGATGCTTTACAGTTTACGTATCACATTCACATCCATTTTCTCGTTTGTCCTCTTTGGAGTAGATCAAGGCAGGCATTTTAAAATCCATTTTACAGATAAAGAAATAAAGACTCAAGGCACTAAGTCTCTAGGACCACGTTGTTAGAGAGAGAGGGAACCAGAACTTGACCCCCAAACTTGTCATTTTCTAGTTTCACTTCCCAAGACCACCCACGGGTAAATTTCTACTTTTACTAAAGAACAGAATCGTTTCCTTTTATTGCCGGGAACCCTGTTGTTAACGGTTTTAAATAACAGGCTTATGTTGATGTCTCTCCTTCTTCCTGTAATTCTACAAGTCATTCTGCTGGAGAGAAGGGAAACACACACATCTCGCACACACAAAAGCCGCAGACAGACTGCTCAACTCGCATCCATGACCTTTTCCAAATACTTTCCTGAGGTAGGAAATGCTATTGTTTTCTTTGGGAGCTGTTTTGCGTTGCCTGTTCTGTGGTTTCACTGGATGAATATCGTAGTGGCCTTTGCAGTTGTAGCAATATCACTATGGAAAGAGATGACACATGCACAGCAGGGCAGGCGACAAGTTGGAGGAAACCAGGGAGGATTCTGAGTCTAAGGTCATAACCTGCTGTATCTCTTAGGAGAGAGCGCTCTATCTTAAGCAGATATGGAATGGAATCTCAGCTTTGATACTTAGTAACTCTGAGCCTTGGGTGAGTTAATTAACTTCCTGGAGCGTCAGTTTCCTCATCCCAGTAATATTAGTATCTACCTTACTGGGTTGTGAGAACTAATTAAAATAATACCTGGTCCTATTGTATAGGACCTGTGCCTGAAAACTATCAAGCATTTGATAAATATTAGCCGTTTTATCATATTATTCACAGTGAATTTTAACCTCTGCTCCCTCCTTTTGTAACTTTGTACAAACCCTTCTGAGTCTCAGTTCTCCTGACTTGTACCTACTTCCTGAAGCTGCTGGAAGAAACAAGTGGATTCCACAAAGGTCTACTGACTCCGCAGAGTTCAGGACACTGGTCCAATAAAATTTCTAAGCAACATTTTACGGGGCAGAAATATTGAAGACCAGACCACTATTGTGTGGTAAGTGGACCAAACACGATGGCTGTACTGGTTCAGATTTTTTCTCTGTAATCCTGTTGATGGTCTCATATAGTCACTTTGGTCTCCTTCTCTAGTTCCTTCCCTTCACGACCACTTCTAAGTGCTGGACACTCTCAGGACTCATTCCTTGGGCTTCTCACTACTCTCACTTCCCAAGTGATCTCACCTAAGTCTCCTGGATTTCAAAGCCAACTATATTAGGATTACTGACGAATGTGCACCTGGACCTGGATCTCTGCCCTATATTCCAGAGACGTGTATTCAACTGCCTACTAGACATCTCCATGGGAGGGGACACATCCCAAACTGACCTCTCGATTCCCCCTTCCTTTGGCCAGACCTGCCCCTCCCATGTCTCCACCTTCAGAGAAAGGAAAATGGCAGCTCCATTCTTTCCATGGATCCGGCCACACACCTCGAGTCCTCTCTGAAGGACCTCATTCTCTTCCATTCTACGTGCAATCCAAGAGCAGATAACTTCAGTCCACATCCAGAACTGCCTGTTTCTCAAGGCCTCTTCTGCTCCTGCCTAGTCCAGGCCACCACCCTGGACTGTAGTCAGAGTTTCTTAGGTGCGTTCCTCGGTCCATTCTATTCCCCACTCAGAAGACAGCGTGGCGATTTGCGACTTCACACAGCTCGTGTCATTCTTCTCAAAACTTGCCTGTGGTGCTCACCCCACTCAGAAAAGGAGCCAACGAGCCTCTACGTGATCTGGTCCCCCCACCGCTTGTATTTCTCATTCTCCCCACGTTTACTCCATGCGAGCACTGCTGGGCTCGGTGCAGCTCTTCCTCCAAAAGCGCTTCCACCCCAGGGTCATTGTGATGCTTGTTCCTTTCAGGCAGAGCAGGTACCTGGGTGGTTTGCTACTCTTCCTCACCTCCTTCACATATCTGCTTAAGCATCCTTTAGAAATGTGGCATTCGCAGATCACAATAAATAAATAAGGACTTCGGCTACCACCCCTAACACTCCATAATGCTCTGTTGTCCTACTTTAAAGTTTCCTGTATCTCTTCTTGTTGTAACACATCGAGCATGGTATTGCCTTTGTTATATTTATTTATTCATTATCTGTCTCCCGTGATTAAGCTGTAAGCTCCACAGAAATGAAGTTGCTCTTTTTACTGCTCCATCCCCAGCACCTAGAACTGTGCCTGGCATTTTGTCAGCCCTCGCTAAATATTTGGTCAATGAGTGAATGAAAACATAGCACTCTATAATTAGGTATTATCTACGTAGAATATGTGAATCCAAGTGCATTTGTTGAAAGGACCTGGTCAGCTTGAAAGAAGATGATAGAGAAAAAGAGAGCATGAAAGTCAAAAAAATAAAAATAAAAGGAAGGCATCTACTTTCAAAACCCATATTCTCCAACTATGATGAGATTAATATGAGGAAGAAAAATTGGGTTTCTCTGAATAGCCCAAGGATTGCTCCCATGCGTTCTCAGGCCCAAACTGCTGTTTGTGAAGAAAAGGAATTCGTTTCCTTACAAATCTCTGTAGGCAAGTTTATTTTTAACATTTCTTGTAGCATATTTCTAGCAAACCCCAGAAAAGGGGAAGTTTAAACAGAAAAAAAAAAAGAAAGGAAAAGAGATGACTTTTATCCATAGGGGCTAACTTCCCTGAGAAATTTGACGTGAGTGAGAAATAAAGGGACTATGTTTCATCTACAGATGGAATTTCTTAATGCTCCTAAATAAAAATGTTTTTTTAAAAAGGCAACAAAAATAATGAGTCAAGCATAAGACAAATCAAGAACACAGGAGCAGATTTAGACTTTTCAAGACAACCCTACTGGGAACTCTCAACAATCCAGATGCTTTTGGCCACCAACACATTTAGGATTGGCTACTGGCCACTTAGTTTAGCTACGTGGGAAATAATTTTGAGGATCAGAAATAGAAAAGAGGCTTTTATGTAGATCACAGATAAAATGCATCATTGACTCAGAACTTATCTTAGTGAAAATGAAGTCACCCTTTGGTATCCATTTAACTATGATAGATGAAATTCTAAAAATGTTGTCCCAAGATTCCCATTCTAACTCCTAGAACTATTAATATGATAAGACAGCATGCCTGTCGATATGATATATCATAAGGCAAGGCAAAAGGGACCTTGAAGGTGTAATTAAGGTCACTAATGAGAGACCTTAACATAGGCAGTTATCCTGGATTATCTAGGGGAGCTTAATCTAATCACACAAGACCTTAAAAGCAGGGAGTTTTCTCTGGCTGATGACAGGAGATCTCTGAGAGATCTGAATTACCAGAAGGATTGGAAATATCGTTGCTGACTTGGAAAGGATACTGGAGGCTTCTAGAAGCTGACAGCAGATTCTGCCAGGAAAGAATGAGAGACCTCAGTTCCCAACCCACAAAGAGCTGATTCTACCAAAGACCTGAATGAGTTTGGAAGTGAATTCTCCCCCAGATTCTCCAGATAAGAGCTCAAGCCCAGCAGATCCCGACTTCAGCCTTTTGAGACCCTAAACAGAGAACCAAGCCAAGCTCACCCAGACTTGTGACCTACAGGAATGTGAGGTAATAAATGAGCCTTGCTAAGTTGTGGTAATTTGTTATGGAACAGTGACAACTAACCCAAACTCAGAGAGCAAACTGAAGCACAAGGAGATTTTCCAGAATTAGGTCTTCCGAAAATGCAGTCTATTTAAAACGTTTTGGAAAAATGGCCCTTTTGTTCTCCCCTCTAATCCTACCAAAGCCTAGCTGCATGCTTTGCTTAATATTTGTTGCTAGAATCTCTATTTTACGATCAGATCTTTGTATTGACCCCGACTACATGCAAAAGATACAGAGAGCAAAAAGAGTTCTACAGGATGAATAATCCCTTTGTCGGGGTTTCAGGAGTGAAGGGTACATAGGAAGGTGTAAATTGTGAGATATGCTCTCAATTCCATTCCTTTGCTCTTCCCCTTTCCTTCTCTTTTCCCCATAAACCAGGTACCTGTTACTCTCAAGTTATTCTCTAGAAACTTTGCTTCTACTCACTACCCCTACAATGAGGGGTCCCCACCCAGGCTGGCCTCCCCTGAGAATGTCTCACACTACAGACCTACCCAATCTAGAGAAAATACTTAATACACATGGTCACTCCCTTCGTGCACCCATGGAATATACCACTAAATCTACGGACGAATCAGTACATCTATTGATGTTGGAATTCAGCATGACTCTTGCTACATCCAGACACAGCTTCATATTCTTCCTACCAACAGCGTTTCAGGCACCTCCTAGTTATCAAGTTGGTGCTCTAGATGATGTCTATTTTCACCTCTTCCATCCATCACCTCCACCTTTCACTCTTCACCATTAAAACAAAAACAAAAACTTAGTTTCTCTCAGTTAATGTGAATAGGAAAGCAATCTCATTAAAACATGTCACGTTATGACAAATGTATTTAAAATAAGACATGTATCTAAGAGTAGAGTTCTCTATCTGGAGAAATTGCAGGCCAGGTGACCAAAGAAGAACACCAGAAATATGAAAAACTGTCTTTGTTGTAGTTATTCCAAGAATGTTAGAAGGAAGCTTGTAAGCTACTGCCTATGCCTCCACCTGCCTGCATAACAGGCAGGAGAAAAGATACACATAATCGAGCTTTTGTGGGTGGCACACTGGGCTGTGTTCCCCTCTGTCACTCAGTGGTTTTCTAAGGTGAGTACATTGAATCGAAAGTGATGGCCTCAGGACAATTACTCTAAACTTAAATATTCAATCCTTCAGTGTCATTTGTCATGCAAATGGTACCCCACTTCTTTTATCCAGGAATGGATCCAGGTGATTCCTTTGTTAGCAAGGGTTACTTGGTGTGTTTCTTCCTCTGGGAAGCTTCTGTCTGTTTCTCCCCTCATAAATCTGGGAAAGGCTACAGATGCCTCACGCAGGAAAAGAGTTGAACTGTACTTACCCAGAGAAGAAGATCCGGATGACTGCGTAAAATATGTCTGGATCTACATAATCTAGAGGAGCAATCAAAATGTGAACTTTACTACAGGCAAAAAAAAGCAATTGGTTCCATATGCACGGGCTCTGCTGCCCTCCCAGGACACCCCCTCTATCTGATCTGCACAGAAACCTGGAGGGAACACAGCGGCAGGAGGGGGAGGAACGTTCCCTTCTGTCGCCCCCCTCGCTGGCGCTGACGGGAGGGTTAAACGGTTCCAAATGCTGCCTTTTTCTATTTGTGGTCACGTCCCTCTTCTGCACTTAACAACAATCACCAAAAAGAGAGGTCAAGGCCATCTTTAAAAAATTAGTATTTTAAACAGACGGAGAGAATGAAAGAATGTGGGAAGCAGAAAGGAGAAAAGCAGAGAGAAAGAATCTGCTCTCTTCAAGGCTTTCAGAAGAGAGGACCACTGAACCCCTGCGTGCATTTCTGTGTAGTCAACAAACGGCAGAGAGTGGAGGATCCTCTGCTCAGGCTCTGCCACACTTGGTCGGACACAGGTTCACTCATTAGTCCGTGCAGCTCGTTGTGTGTGTGTGTGTTGTTGTTGTTTCTGTTTTGGGGGGTTTTTCTTTTGATGGTGCCACATGTGGGACCTTAGTTCCCCAACCAGGGATCCAACCCATGGCCTCTGCATTGGAAGCACCTAGTCTTAACCACTGGACCACAGGGAAGTCCCTATGCTGCTCATTTTGAATCTAAGCCAATGCGTGGGGATAACTGATCCCACTAGCTTATTAACTTGTGTGTGTAAAGAAGCACGTCCTCACATTTGCACCGAATTTCTTTTCATCCGCTTTTGAACGTTATTCTCTCTTCTTCTCACAATGGGGCCCCTCTGGGAGCTGACATGTTTCTCTCATCCAGATTCCTGTCTATGTCTCTTTGTTTCGGAGAAAAAAAGAAACATCTTTTTGATGAGACCTAAATAATGGCATCTCTATACCATCAATTTACCTTTTCCACCATCACACCTGATCTCTGGTCTTCCATCTCTGTCTTCTCTGAAGCCCCCTGGGCTCAGGTAACTCACATCTCCCATCAGCCTCAGGGCTTCCCAGGGCCTCTGAGGGCTGTCACATCCTCCCTGCTCATTTGCGACACCATCCCATGTGCTGGACTTTTCTCTGGGCCCTATTACTGGGTCTTTCCCATTTGGTGCTCTGTTCCCACAAATATGCTAAGTACTATGTACAAATTTTTGCTGAAGCAGTAATGACTGGAGATAATTTAATGTTTTACCCAACTTATCATATTTAAGGAGGAAAATCCAAATGATTACTTCAGTAAATGTGAGATAATTTTTTCTTTTTTTTTGTGGCTGTACCACATGGCTTGCAGAATCTTAGTTCCCTGGTCAGGAACTGAATCCAGGCCCTCGGCAGTGAAAGCGCAGAGTCCTAACCACTGGACTGCCAGGGAATTCCCAAATGTGAGATAAGTTTGATGTAAAATTTTCAATAGATATAAAAAAATCCATTCATGATTAAGACAAACAAAAAATTTTAGCTAATTAGGAATAAGAGGGAACATCCTTAAACTGATAAAAGGAATCCACAGAAAGCCTCCAGTGCATATTATACTTAACGTTGAAATATTAAAAATGTCGGACAAAACCAAGTATCAGCACGTCCATTCAACACTGTGTTAGGCATCCCCTCGCCTGAAGAATAAGAATAAAAATTGAAAGAAAAAAGTTATGAGTATTTAAATGAAAAAGCAAAACAATGTTATTCTCAAATAATATGATTTCTACATAGAAAACCTAATCAACAGATCATCATTAGAATTAATAAGAGTGTTTATCAAAGTGCTAGATTCAAGGTTCACACTAAATAACAATTTCATTCTATAAACCAAGAACAAACAGGAATTAGTTCAGTCAAAAGATGCCATAGTGGCTAGAAACAAAAATATAAAGTAACTATGAATAAAGCAGAATATATCTAAATCTCTTATGTTGAAATAAGTCAAAGTAATTTAAGAAAATGTGTCTTTGTTCATGGACAAGAAAACTCAGTATCAATATCCAGGAAAATAAATGTATCTAAAGAAGAGTTTTTTGTTTTGTTTTGTTTATTTTGTTTTTATTGTATATTCAAATATTTAATGTAATTACTGATATATTTGGGTTATATATACACTTTTATTTATTTTGTCTTTGTCTCCTATTCTCTGTTCCCTTTTTTCTTCTTTTTTGACTTTCATGAAAAAAATGTTTTAAATTATTTTATTTCCCCCCTTATTATCATTAGTTTCCCCCTCTTAATGCTATTCTTTTAGTAGTCATTCTTGAGATTACAACAGATATCTTTGATTCAATAGATCTACGAAATTTAGTACTTTTACCACTTCCCAATCAGTACAAGGTCTGTAGAATACTTTATCTTATTTAACCCCTTTGCCTTTTGTGCTATTGTTATCATTTATTTTATTTCTACGTGCATTTTAAACCTACATTATTATTGTTGTATAAATTCAATAATCATTTGAATTTAACCACATAGTTACCATCTCTTGCTCTTCATTCTGTCCTGTATTTCTGTGCTTACATCTGGAATCTTTGTACTTTTGCCCGAAGAACTCAATTGAATATTTATTTTAGTGTGGGTCCTTTGGCAATAAGTTTTCAGAGTTTTTATTTGCCTGAAAATATCTTTGTTTTAATTTCAAATTTGAAAGATATTTTGGCTAGGTGTGTAATGCCAAATTGGAAGTTATTTTCTTTCTGCACTTCAGTGGTATCATTCCATTTTCTTGGTTTCTTTTTTTCTGTTGACAAGTCTTCTTATTTCTTTAAAGAAGAGTTTTCTATCTGGATAAATTTCAGGCCATGTGGGAAGAGAAGAACACCCAGCAATATGAAGACATGATTCCGAGAGCACGTTAATGTCTTTACATTAGTCTCCACCTGTCCATCTGCCCTGATCAGAGGACAGAAGGACCAGATAGAATATCAAAATCAGGTAATTTTTCTCCAAATTAATATACAGATTTAATGCCATTTGAGCAAAATTCTTAACAGGATTTTTTTATTGGGATTTGACAAGCTGATTCTAAGTTTATATGAAAAGCAAAGGGTCAAAGACAGGACGCGTGCCCCTGGAGAAGAGAAAAGTGAGGGGGATTTTCTCTACCTGAAAATGAGAAATACTATGAAGCTATGGCTCATTTAAGACAGATGGTTTTTGTGTGGGGAAAGACAAACAGACGATGAAACGGAATAGGGAGCCTGGAAAGAGATCCAATCATTTAAGAAAATCTGATGTAAGACAGTGTTGATATTGTAGGTTAGTGATTATTCACAGAAGGGAAATTGAATTTATTTCCTATGTCATACTGTATAGAGATAATAATTATATGTGTGTTAAGGGGTGAAAGGTGAAAGACAAACAACATCAACTACAGAAAAAAATGTAGAAAAATATATCTATGACCTCTGATTATGAAATTATATCTTATGCCACACTTCCTGAAAATAAACTGTTACAAAAGAAACTATAAATACTTTGACTATATTTAAATTAAGAACTTCTGCTTTCACAAGGCAGAATGAGACAAACCACAACACTTGCAATCCATAACTAACAAAGATCACCCTCCAGAGTGTACCCAAAAACTTACTAAAGGCAATGAGTAAAAGATAAAAGACATTTCCAAAAATAAGGAAAGCCATGCATTTCACAAATCAGGGACACACGCGATGAGCACGCAGGAGCACAGGCCCTTCCACCCCCATCCCAGACACACAGACAGTTAGCTCATTAGAAAACAGGGAGATGCAAGAGTGACAACATCAGCATGGCAGAATAAGAGTTTTCGACTGTCTTCCCCCCAAAGAGCATTGTTTTAGACAGTCACCCGTGGATAAGACAGCCTTTGTGGAAGTCCAGGAGTCCAGCGAAAGGTTCCAGAACACCACTGGAGCAAAAAAAAAAAAAATCTAAGAGTGGATGCACTGAAGAGGGTAAGAAGAATATTTCATTTTACCCACATCACCCCTTCCCCCGGGCAGCACAGCACAGGGCCAAGAGAGACCTTCTTGCCACACTCCTGAGGGTGGCAAGAGTGAGCCTTTGCAGATAGGCAGCGAGCAAGTACAGCGGGACTCTGTGGGATTGGGAGAAAGCAAACACACTTGAGAGTTTAGCACTGCCCTAGGGGAAGCAAAGGAAGAATGTCAGCTCCTGGCCTGGCTTTACAGGATCAAAAGAAGGCATGCACGACGATGAGTACTAGAAATTCTGCCACAAGAGGGAGCAAAAAGACTGGAGCAGGTGTATCCATAGACAGTGTGAAAAAGCCTCAGAATCCCTACCGGGGCTGATGGAAGGTATTTCTCTCCCTAAACCAGGTAGAGAACATCTATTAACGTGGGGCTGGTGAGGGACAAGAGCCACATAAAAACTCTTGCTTCTGGATCTGATGTGTGTACACTTGGGCTGAGAAGGGCAGTTCCTGAAAGCCAGTGCCATTATCCTCCAGGGAGTATAGAAGACCCAAGAAGACACCTGAGTTACGTCTCCCCCCTTTCCTTCCCTGTGTCTTCCTAGAGGAGTGGAAAAATGGCCCCATGGACTGCAGTTTCTGCCCCGATGGCCAAGCCCAGGTGCACTTAGTGGATGGGGCTAGATGTCTTCCAAAGTTGCTGTTGTTATTGTTCAGAAAAACACAAAACACTTTGGTCAAGTATCTTGTTCTTTTAAATCTAAGTGACTCTCAAGAAAAATACAATGTCTGCTTTTGATTAATTCACTCTCATCTCATTCTATCATAAGCATTATTTTTGTTTTGCTTGGAAAACCTAAGGAAACTTGCTTTTTCAACTTTTCAGGGGTAGGGATTTAGGTTTTATACTGAGAAGTGGCCTTTAAACAAAACAAAACTCAGCAAATCCTTGCTTTGGGTCAGTACTAAAGCCACAGACCCAGAATCACTGCAGTATTTTCATATGACATCATTAATGTTCATTATGGTCATCCTACCCAGAAAGGTAAGGCAGTCAATGCTCCATTACTGACACCCAAAACAAAGCACTGTAGGTGCATAACTGAAATATACATCTGATGGACCTGACCACCAAACTGTGTTTTTTGAGTAATTCCCACTTTTTTTTTTTTTTTTTTTTTTTTTTGCGGTACGCGGGCCTCTCACCGCTGTGGCCTCTCCCGTTGCGGAGCACAGGCTCCGGATGCGCAGGCTCAGCGGCCATGGCTCACGGGCCCAGCCGCTCCGCGGCATGTGGGATCTTCCCGGACCGGGGCACGAACCCACGTCCCCTGCATCGGCAGGCGGACTCTCAACCGCTGCGCCACCAGGGAAGCCCGTAATTCCCACTTTTAAAGCCACATATTTCCACTGAATGTCTCACCATCACCTTAAATGTGACATGTTTCAAAGCAAGTATTGTTTCCTTTCCCTGTGTTCCCTATTTACTTTGAAAATCAATCTGCCAACCAAGCAGAACTTGATTCAGTCTTCCAAATAACAGATCTTTGCCAGAGGCCTCATGACTTTTTTCAACCAGCTTTGAAATCATACGTATGTATATACCCTTGACCCCTCCTCCTGCCTCGGCTCACACCTAAGCTCTGCCAATCCTCAGCCCTTCTCCTTGGGGAGTCTTGTTTATTTCTCCTGTTGCTCCATCCCTTGCCCCATTCCTGGGTTTGGCAGCATTACTGAGAGGGTTTAAGCAGCTATATATGCCTGGATGAGACCAGGGCTTAAATCTGAGTGTAAACAGGAGTTAAGTAGGCAGAGGGTGAGTTAGGAAGAATGTCTGAAGCAGAAGGAATAGTCCGTACACAAGCCTTGAAGTGGAAGAAGTTCTTTTCAGGAGCTAAAAGCTAGTGTCAGAAAGAATAAGTGAAGGGAAAGATGATGTGAAACAAACTAAAATTAAAATAGCCTGGGGTCAGTTCATCTTGGGTCTTGCAGAATAGGTTAAGGATTTTGGCCTTATCCTTAGAATAATGGATAAACTAGTGCTTTCGGTTGAAATCTAATGTGGTAGACACGTGTAGTTTTAAATTTTCTAGTAGCCATATTTCAAAAGGTAAAAAAAAAAGGAAAAATTAATATCAATACTATATTTTAATTAACTCCAAATATCGAAAATACTATCATTTCGGTATGTAATCAATATAAAAATTATTAATGTGGTTTATTTGAAATCCTGGGTATATTCTTATAGATTTAAAATTTATTTTATACTTAGAGTGCATTTTAATTCGATGCTGAATTTTCAACAGTTAAGTGAAAGGTAATCTTTCTAACAAAGAAGCTGCGTCTAACAGAAAAGTATGTGACACTGATTCAGTTTTTCGACTTCAATTTCAATTAGCTAAATTTAAATACAATTAAAAATTTAGGGCTTCCCTGGTGGCGCAGTGGTTGAGAGTCCGTCTGTCGATGCAGGGGACGCGGGTTTGTGCCCCGGTCCGGGGGGATCCCACATGTCGCGGAGCGGCTGGGCCCGTGAGCCATGGCCACTGAGCCTGTGCGTCCGGAGCCTGTGCTCCGCAACGGGAGAGGCCACAGCGGTGAGAGGCCTGCGTACCAAAAAAAAAAAAAAAAAATTTAGTTCCTCAATCACACCGTCCATATAGCAAGTGTTCAGTGGCCGCGTGTGGCTGGAGGTTACAATATTGGACTGTGCCAGGAGGGCAACGGGAGGGTTTTAAGAGTCAAAGTGATGCAACCGATCTGCACTCCTAAAAGTTGATTCGGGCTTCTGTGAAGAGCATGGATTCGACTAGGTAAAGGACAGATGAGAGAAAGGATTGAGAAGGCCACTGCGGGAGTGCTGGCGGGAGATATGATAGCCAGGTGCAGAGGAAGTGATGGTGGAAACACAGGGAAAGGAAGAGATGCCAACAGTACTCCAGAAAGAGACTTCCCTTTGTTGTAATGGAATGTTGTTTTACTTGGACCTATCCTTCCCCTGACAAAAACAACAAAAAGCTGGGTAAATGTGAAAACATCCTAAAGGCCATCAAAGAGTTCAAAAGGCAGCAAGGAACCACCGAGCAAACATTGCAAGGGAAAGCAGAAACCCAGGGAGGTAGAAAACAAGACCAGCAGAGATAGTTTTCCCTGAAATCACTTGCCCATCCGGGTTCGCCAGGGCTCGGGTTTAGTGGCTTCTCTGTACGATGGGAGCCCTGGTCCCAGCTTTGGTGAGGAATTTTACACCAGACCCTCCTCATATTATCCGCAGAGTCCCAAATGCCTATACTCACAACCTCCGAGTGAATCAGGGCCCCACTGTACCCCCGTTTGCCACAGGAGATAGAATTAGAACTAACTTTGGCACCAAGCCAAAGAGGATTAAAAAAAAATTTGTCCCTGAAAAGTCGTGACCTTTTCTTTTGCACATTTTTAGCCCAAGTTCAGTTGTTGGGTCCTTACTTGTTCAACATGATTTAAGATGATCCAGAATTTTAGAGTTCCAAAGAACCAGGAAGAACCAAATACAAATATTTCTCTCTCCTAGTCCCAAAAGCCTGCCTACAGATGATGTTTCAAAGACAATGAACATTACAAGGTGAAAACAAAATCAAGCATAGAAAAAAACATGGCAACCACTGTGAGGACTGACAAAGAAAGAGAAGGTTAAAAAACAAGAAGGAAACAGAAACCAGTTTCAAATATTAGAACGACCACATCTTTAGGCGTGACTTTGAAAATTCCTGGAAAGGAGGGTTTGTACAGGAAGGGAGTACGCAATTCGTGCTAAAGTTTGGCTCCGAAAGAAGAATGGTTGGGTAAGCTGCATTTGGGGGAGGACAGCAGTGCAGCTGGGCTCTATTTATCAGGCAGAAGAAATTCAACAACCATAAACCACAATCAATCACTAACAAATCCGTGTGATTCCTTACACCTTGCAGTTTTTATTGTTCATTACCTTTTTTTCTTTTTTAATTGCTGTACGCGGGCCTCTCACTGTTGTGGCCTCTCCCGTTGCGGAGCACGGGCTCCTGACGCGCAAGCTCAGCGGCCATGGCTCACGGGCCCAGCCGCTCCGCGGCATGTGGGATCTTCCCGGACCGGGGCACGAACCTGTGTCCCCTGCATCGGCAGGCGGACTCTCAACCACTGCGCCACCAGGGAAGACTGTTATCATTTTTATAATTTTACTTTTCTGGCTACTGTGGCTGCATAACAAACCACTCCAAACTCAGTGGCACAGAATAACCATTGTATTACACTCATGGACTCAGGGCAGGAATCAGGGCGAGACGCAGTAGAGATGGCCTGTCTCTGCTCCTCAGTGGTTGAGTCCTCCGCTGAGGAAATGGAAGAGAGAGGATGCCTGGAAAGTGGGAACTTAGACTCATCTGAGGGCTTATTCGCCCCTGTGCTAGGTGCTAACTGGAGCGCCTACAGTTGGCCTCCCTGTGTGGTTTGTCATCTTCATTCACAGCCATGGTGGCCACAGAGTAGATGGAATTTTTACATGGTGGCTCAGTATACAGGGTGGCAGCTGCAACACTTTTTCTAGCCTTGTCTGGGAAGTCACGCTGTGTCACTTCCTTTGAGTTCTACTGATCGCGAGCATGTCACAAGCCCGCCTACGTCACGAGCCAGGACACGGGCTTTGATGAGAGGAATACCCGGGCCACATTGTGAAGGAGCCCTGAGGATGGATGGTGGTGTTGTGGCCATTTTTGAAAACTGCAGGCTGATACATTCATCTATTTCACTGCAGTGACTAGTAGTGAAACCTTTAAAATACATGATGTTGGGCTTCCCTGGTGGCGCAGTGGTTAAGAGTCCGCCTGCCGATGCAGGGGACGCGGGTTCGTGCCCCGCTCCGGGAAGATCCCACGTGCCGCGAAGCGGCTGGGCCCCTGATCCATGGCCGCTGAGCCTGCGCGTCCGGAGCCTGTGCTCCGCAGTGAGAGAGGCCACAGCAGTGAGAGGCCCGCGTACCGCAAATAAATAAAATAAAATAAAATAAAATACATGATGTCTGTGTGGGAAAATTTACCTTTGGGGGACACAAGGGAAATCACCCCATCGCCTGCCCAGGCCATCAGACGTCCTGTAGAGGATGATCAAGAAAGCATCAGGGTTGGCCTGGGCTGAATACGTGACTTTGAAAATGAGTGCTAGGGAAGCATGTGAGAGCCAGACAGGGCTGTGCCACCTTACTGGGACACGCCCCGGGACAAGGTGGAGGGCCTCCTGTGACCTTCCAAACCAGTCACTGCTGCTTATTCCTACGATCTGAAGACCCTGCAACGCCCCTCTAGTGGTCTTCACATCCTGAGTAATAAACGCAGGGCATCTTGCAAAACTAAAACGCATCTCACTGAGCTGGGAGAGCTTGTTTGGCAGGAGACCTACTGATGTGATCGGGAGGAATTTACAATTAAAAATCAGGGAAATGGGGAGATGTGAGTCAAACGCGTAAAACAGGGGCCTTGAATGGAAAGAATACATAACCCTGTGACTTCAGATGGGCTTCCCAGAGAGTCTGGGATGACAAAGAAATCTATCCTTTGAATGAAAAGTCATAAAGCTGAGTACCATCCGGTCTCCGGCTCCCTCCCTCCTGCCCTGTTTCCTACAAACACTCTCTTTTTCCAGAATCTGTTTTGTTTTCCAGTGAAGAAGGACTTAGGGAAACTGATACTTAGCTGCTTTTCCCTTGCTAAACAGATCACACCCATTTTCCCCCTTAAATTTTTGAGATTCTTCTGCTAGGGGAAGTTGAAGAGCTACCCAGACATTGGAGAGGAAGGCAGTTGCCAGAATAATATGTAACCAGTTGCAGCAAGGGTGGGTCCCTTAAGTGGCCACACCTGTGGTAACCCATCCCTGCACTGGTCACAGAGGAGGGCTGAAGAAGCCAAGGTCAGTCATGTCCTCCGGTACCCAGGTCACTGCTGGATAAAGCAGGTACAAGCCATGTTGTGTGCCCTTCCCCTCCTCCCAAGCTTCGTGCAAGACCTCAACACACAAAGAAATACGTGACAGCCGAAGAGAGGAAATTAGCCTAATCACATGAAAATAGAAAGACTATACCAGGAGAATATCCCTGCCAACTGAGAGATCATTTTCCAATAGTATGAGCGGCAGTTACCTAAAACAAAGCTAGCACAGCAGTGCCATCTCATGGACATTGCCAACCTCCAGGCCCTTTCTCCCCCCGCAAGCGATCCCTCAGCCTTCAGGAGCCCCTTACCATGCATTTGTCCCAAGGATCTGGTGATGTCCTGAATGGAGAGCCTCAGCTGCTGCAGGGCTTGGAGCAGGGAGTCTGGGCTGGGCAGCAAGACGGCATTCACCGCCTGAACAAGGGCCTGGGGATGAGATTCAGTCTCACAATGCATTAGCATTCACTGAAGGCCCATTGAGATGCAGTGAGCCTCAGAGATGGGGGAATCCAGGAAGGGCAGCCTTCTGCCTGCTGGACTGTGTGACAGGGCTCCCCAGGGAGTGCTTCTAAACTACATTTGGCCAGGAGGTCCTTCTCGAAGGAGAATCTTCCTGGTCACCTCCCAGATGGACCTGGTTAGGTCTTTCTGGATCTTTCCACTGGCTGATACTTCGTGTGCCTCTCAGGGGCCTCACTCTGTCATTTTCCTCCTTTCTGCTTCTTGAGTTATTACACATAATACTCCTGCGTCTTGACTCCCGCGTCTTGACTCAGGACGGCCTCACCCCTGAGCTCTGTCTTACAGAAAATCAGAATTGTGGAGCCCTCAGCTCAGACCCCCCTTCATTAGCAGTCTCGACCTTATCTGAGCTATGTTTGGAAGACCAGTATTTTATTCTGTATCTTTCTATGGAATAAACACACGGATGAGAAGTAAAGTGACCACATAGTTTCACTTCTGAGAGTGCAAGAGGGAGCTATAATAATTGTAGCCCAATCTGGTCACCCTGCAGTAGGTACAGTAGGCACCCAAAATATGCTTACCAGGGAAGGTGGTGAGGAAGGACAGAAATCTAACTTCAATATCTTCAGGCAGGGCATGGATTCTCTGGCAGACACCTGACCTTTCTGGGACCCGCCTGACCCCTAAAGGAATTCAAGTTTACAACCCCCAGGGCTAGGTAATCTCAAGGATGGTCCATTTTAACTCAGAGCCCTTGCGTGGTAGTTCCAGGCATCAGCATCTCTCTCTCTGTCTCTGTCTCTCTGTCTCTCTCTCTGCTTAATTCCTTTACATTACTCAGGTGTTAACTTTCAGACCTGTCATTTCCCTTGGAAAGCTTTGCCCGACCCTTCAAGTCTGAATTAGGTTTTAGATGTCTTTTCATGAAACACGGCACTTTTTTTCATGTTACTCCCTACATCAATGCACCCTCCTCCACTGGATCCTGAGCCTCTGTGGAAGCCAGAGCAATGTCTGTCTTACTCCCCCAGATCTCCCATTGCCTAGAACAATGCTTGTTTGTTGATGGGCAAACGGTCAACTGCATGTTTTACAGTAGTTGAGGAAAGGTAGATACCTCTGTGGTCCAGAACTTAAATCTCTTTGCTCAACTAACCAAGTAAGATGAGGCCTGTATTCATGAATTCACTGCAGGGAAAGGGCCTGGGTGGGAAGCAAAGCTCAGACTGACTTTTCATGTAGAAAAAAAAAGTTCTGTGAGTGGGAAGATACCTTAATCCCGGGTACAGCTGCTTTCTCCACCAAAACAGTCACCAGTATAAAACCACGCAGGCTTTCTCCCCCTGGGAATAAGACAATGGGGTCCAAGTTCCTTGGAAGGGACATGACCACGTGGTTAGAAAGGTCTGGACACAGTGAGTACGCACGGCCCAGCGGTGGCCTCGAGTCAGGTAACTGCTATAGTCCAAGGCGGAACCAGAGGTTGATGCTCTCCTCTCCACAGGGCAGCCCGAGGATGGGCCTCTTCCCTCCAGCAACATTCAGGTAGGAAAGAGACAGATCTGCTCCAGCCCAAGTTCACCTGAGGACTCCCAAGCTAGCATGGCCCGGATGGTCCCAGACCATCCCCCCCACTCCCCACGCCCGCCCCTGCTGTAGAACTGCTAAAGCACGAGGGGACAAGTAGGGCTGATTCTTCACAGGGCCAGTCCGGGCCCCATCACACCCTTCCCGTTAGGAGCACAGTGTCTTAATGCTGCAGTGACCACAGGCAACAGCTAATTCCATGCTCCTTTCTTACAGACAGAAAACTATGGCCCAAAGAAGCAAAATCGCTTCCCCAGTTGCATCCAGCTGCTTAGTCACTGGACCTGGTCCAGAGCAGTTTCATAGCTCAGGCTAGTGCTCTCTCTCATTAGTCATTTCCCCCCCCAAATTCTGTATTATAATAGTGAAAGCTGAAGACTGTTATAGAGGAATCTTTCTTAAATGATCTGTTATCACACGGATTCAAATAGCCCAGAGGCAGATCCAGTCTACAAAACATAAAACTTCATTCCATAAGTCACTTCTGCCTCTAAAACATGAGAAGACATGAAAAACAAACACAAAAGATAACTCAGTCAGGGACCCCCGTAGTTTCCGCAGAGTCACGTTAGTGTGGGAAATGGGGTCTTCAGGCTTCATCTCTCCATCTTCTGAGCTACAGCTTTTATACTGAGCCCCTTTATTGAGCTGAGGTTTGGTGACCGGAGAGGCAGTGTCAACTTAGAGGTTAACTGTGCTCCCTGGGGAAACAGGAGCCTAAGAACATCTGGGCCAGACTTGCCCCACGAGCTCCAGTCTATGTAATATTTCAAAGGGATTCTGTAGCTGTAGCAGCCACAGCCAGCAATTTGGCCTTTCAGAGACCAGAGATCTTCCTCAGATCATTAGACTTCAAAAAATCACAGAGAATTGGAGAACTGGTGAAGTTTTGGTGTTTTGGGGGGTTTTGGTTTGTTTTTTTGCTCTTCTTACATTGCATTTTACTTGTTTCATTACGTACAAAGTGGAAAATGTAGTAAAGAAAATTAATCCCTTAATCTCTACAAAGCAGAGACAACTACTGCTAACTTTGGGGCTGTTGATTTGGGGTACATTTCCTTCTACTATTTTTTCATGCATTTTTATATGTTTTATGTACTATACATACAATGTGGTATGCTTTCTCTTTTTTTGCTTGTTGGTTTTATTGTAAGCTTTTACAGTTAGCAAGGATCCTAAAGTGAGTAAAGGATTTCCGAGAACTTACCTGATTTCCAGGGGTCTAGTCCAATTTCAGTTATTGACAAAAGGAAAGAAAAAGAAGAGAACAAATCAGTTTGCAAACCTGATATGCCTTCTAGGGTCACGTGGACACAGGCATGCATACTTGTGTGCAAATGCACGCGCAGACACACACACATCGTGCACAGTTTGGATGTCACGTGTTGTGACTAGACCGTGGGCCTGAGGGGAGCAGAATAGACCTCCCCAAATATGCCACTTAGGTGGATTGATTATTTTGAATTAAAGGTACTTGAGAAACAGCAGGTGCCAAAAGGACACTCGGACCTCTTTGTGCCCCTGAAAGTAGGAAATAAATCTCCCATGTGAAGGCCCCCTCTCTGTACCAGGAAGTAGAGAGAGACAGCCTTATCACCAGAGACAGGAATTCAGGGCTGAGAAGCCTGTATAAACAAACCTTGTTACTTCTTCCCTAGTTAGCTAACCCAAGCCCAAAAGCCTGTGTCTTGTCAATTCTTCATAAATGCATTGCTGCCTCATCTAGAAGATATACAAGCTTCTGGCTTTAGTCGCATATTCGAGTCTCATCTTTTTATGGGGATCTAATACGTGCAAAATTAAATTTGTTTTTCTCCTGTTCCCCTATCTGATGTCAGTTTGATTATTAGACCAGCTAAGCAGCCTAAATGGGAAGAAGGGCAAGGTTTTCCTCCCCTACGGTCCTCGGAGCAACAAAGAGGCAGATAGGTCTCAATTTACATATCAGCCCCAGAGCATTTAGCCTGTGGCCATCCTGACAATTGAAATTGCTCCTTTTATGTACTTGCAATTACCTGCCCCAATGTTTTCAGAGTGGGTTGAGAGGAAGCTCCTGGGAACTGTGATTTTTGAACTTGTGTTCAAGTTCACCCCTTCTTTGGCACCATAAATCGGGTAATAAATATGAACATCTCTAATCACAAAATAGCTGACAAAGCCTGGATTTTTCCTGCAGAGAGAAGGAAAAGTCAAGACTCTCCCTTACCCGGTTTTAATCTGTGCAAATCCCAAGCGCCTTCTCCCGCTCTTACCTTCCTGGGTTCCTAGTAGCCCAGTTGGCCAGAACCACGTCCGAGTGAAGCAGGATAGGAGGGAGCCCCAAGTTCCTGGAGACCTCGACCAAGGGAAGGGCAAGGGTTCTCGGCAGAACCTTGCAGATATAAATCCAGACAATTAGCACATTCTAGAAAGAATGCAGCAGAGGAAGCAATCTGTCTTTTATTCTGGCAATCTTGTGGTAGAACAACGAGCCGGGGATAAAACTGGAATTATGTGAGTGATCCATATACACACACCTCATTCTCATATTTATTCTGTTAACAACCTAGTGGATATATTGTTTATGAGTACGGTCTGAAATATATATGAAAATTACAAAACTGGAACACACACACACACACATAGAGTATAAAATAATCTCTGAATATTGTGCAGGGAAGGGCCTGAGCAAATGTTTAAGCATAAATGGGGGCTGAGCTAATGAGCAGTGGGAAAAAATCTCTCTCTATATATACATACCTCCAGATAAATAGATAGATCAGACAGATATGTAGCTATCTAGATATATGTGTGCTTTTGTGTATAGTCTTAGTTTTAGGAACATATGCGTATGTGTTTGTATGCACGCGTGTGTGTGTGTGTGTGTGTGTGTGTGTGTATCCTCTCCTCAGGGAGAGGGACGGGAAGGATAGAACGCTTCATCAAATCCAATAACAACTTCGAGTAAGTCACCTCAAGACAGTCCCCATTCAACCCCTGAGTTATCCTAGGACACTCTAAAGAACCCTATATGCCCCCAAATCCAGAAAAACTATCCGGACCCATGCAGGTACCAGTGGGGGACTCCAACCACGAACAAGGCTAAATTAGTCTAGATCCAAAAGAACATTCTTATGCTTCTTGTCTCCCACTTCCATTTTCCTTCCCGTTAATCTACTCAAAGAAGTCCAGCTTCTGCCTTAGTTTTCCCTTAGATTTTTAGAAAGAGTTGGGACAGAACTGTTTCTCAGGTAGAAAACAATAAAGAGCTTTAAAGAGTTGTCAGATTCAAACCTAAGGCCAGCTTCCCTTGGGGGGCAGTGGATGAGTGGGGCAGCGCAGAAGTGAGGTGTCTCCATAGTGAGGAAGCGAAAGGAGGAGATACAAAGAAGGTAAGAGATGGCCCGAGGCGGGGTGGGGTGTGACAGGGGGCTCCCACCCCTTTCCCTGATTGAGGATTGTGGTTTGGAGAACGGAAGGAGGGAAGCCCATTGGATGTCTTGTCCTATGTGCCTAGATCTCAGACTTTCCAACATCAGACACATGACTCTTTTTAAAGAGTCTGAAGCAGCTCTATGCTTTCCTCTTCTCTCCTTTCTTACTTTCCTTTCTTTTTCTCACTGGGAGTCTCCTGTATTTACTTGAGAGAGAAAAGGTAGAATCTACCAAGCAAACAAGATAAGCACGGGCTGCTGACTCAAGAAGCAGGAAGTACTAGAACAAGGGTAACACCCTCATTTCTGGAGAATGTCTATTTATAAAAAAAATGACACTAATAGGAATTTATCCTGCAGTTAGGGAAACAAAGATTTCACGTTCCAAGTTTCAGATTGAAACTGTAAAAAGTTATGAAAAGATTCAGAAGAGACTTACATGAACTATTAAGAGACACAGACCAATATTTGGTAGATAGCAAGCAACATTCAAGAAAGGAAGATTGGTGTTATAAATGGCAATGTGTGCTCTTCCCCGCTGGGGAAAGAAGGTTACATTAGTGAAATCAGAAGGTCTGAGCTGTGGCCCCGGATTTTCCACGAACTTGCTATGTGACCTTGGGCAAGGAATTTAACTCCTGTAGTCCTCAGCCATCTGTAAAATGGGCACAGCATTGCTGTACTTACCTTATGGGACTGTGAACATTGACTGTGGTTACGGATGTGTACAAGAGCACAAACTGCTGTAAAATGGAAATCATTAAGTTTTCCATGACACCTCAGAACTTGCCTTCAAATGCAGCTTTTCACAATTCTTGGAAGAGGGTGGGTGCCAGAAAAAACAAAATTCAAAAACTAATGAGAGGGCTACCAGTTCTAAGGAAAATTAACCTCCTGGCCAGGGGAAAAAGGTGTTTTCATTTAGATGGGCCCTTTGTCCTTCCTTCACCTCATACCCAAAGGAAAGAACAAGAAAGGACCCATTTTCCAGGCAAACAGAGAGCGTTTGCCAGGTGCAGCAGACCTTTGTAGAAAGCGTCCTCCAGGTGCAGCAGACCTGCCAGATGACAGGACAGGTGTCCCTTTGTCCCTACCTCTTTGGGCTGTGCCTCTCCATCCTGCCAGACATATCCCATGGTAATAAAGGATAGGACCAGGTGTGCCAGCCGCTGTTCCCGGTAACCCGTGAGGAACTGGCAGTTCAAGAGGGGCATCTGTTCAAGAGAATTTCCAGAGATTACCAGCTGCAGGGGTGTGAAGGGTGCAGGGGTTCTGTGGCTTGAAGGGGTTACGTTTCAGTGACGGGGATCCACACACCCCCCTTTCTACCCTGATCTTAGGACACTGCGGTAGAGGAGGTATCCCAGATGATATTGTTCACGAAGTACTTACACCAAATTTTCCCCATGGTTGTGCTGGACACTGGTCACCATCACTGACAGCTTGGTTAGAGTGTTCTAGAATAACTCAGTCCCAAGACTGACATCATTTATTAAACGGGAGTCTTCCGGGGCAACTTTTACAATCCTGCCTTATCAAAGCACCTCTGCGTAACGGGTACCATTTAACCCTAATAACAGCCCTGCTGCTGTGGACGTTACTGTCTCTGTTTACTCTGTTTAATTCGTAGGTAAACGAGTACACGGAGGCCAGTGGAGTTAGGAATCCGATCAAATCCCTTAAGGGAGGTTGCTGAGCGGGAATAAGAGGTTGTTCAGTTCTTGTCCGAACACTCCCCGTGACCCTGTGACCTCTCCACGCCCGCTCCCTCCCTGTCAAGATGCGTCATAGAGAGGTGTAAAGGTGATGTCGTTGAAAGCAACACCCTGTACACAAGTTAGTTATTACTGACAGCCCTGCCTAAGCAAATATTACCAGTTTCTCAGTTTTCCCCCGGCCAACCCTGCCTGTCTCGGTTGCCATCAACAGCCTCTGAGCTCCAGCTTCCCTGTACCTCCCCCTCGGCTTTCCTCCGTCCCCTATCCCTTCCCCAGCTCTAGACACAGTCTGATCTAGTTCTTCCCAGGTGCCCCTCTCCAGGATCCGAAGCGCCAGAAGGGGCGGCGGTGGATGTGTGTATCTCTTTAAGCTCCGGGCTCTTAAACGATGAGTGACAAGTGGGCTGGGACCGCGGTTCCCCATGCCCAGGGCCCGGCAGCCGGAGCCGCAGCCTCCCCGATGGTAATCCTTCCTCCGCTGGCCCCTAGGGGGCAGCCTTTCTGAGTCGGTCCTCACTGTGCCAGACTGTTTATTTCACCCTTAAAATTGGCTCTGAGATAGAATCGCGAAAGTTCTGTGCAGAATCGCGAAAGTTCTGTGCCTTAGGGTGTGTGTGTGTCTATTGGAGGGATTGCTGAGATGTTGCATTTTAACAGGAACCAGCCTGAGAATTATAACCACAGTTATAATGTATTCAGTTATTTCTTCAGTACTTATTCTAAGGCAATTACTAAAGTGTCCAAGGCATGGTGCGAAAAGCGTCCCAAGCAGGTTGATACTCCATTTTCCCCCAAACCCACAGGCCAAAACTGAGGGTCAGAGAGGGTAAGATATTTGCCCAGAGCCACAGAGCCAGGAGGGACTGAGCCAGGGTGCTAGTTCAGTTCTGCTGACCACAGCCCTGCCCTCTGAAGTCAGCACTGCCCGAAAAAAATATGATAGCCATACGTGTAATTTTACATTTTCTATCAGCCACATTTTAAAAATAGCAAAATCCAAAAAAGCCCCAGGTGGAATTAGTTTTAATAACATTTTATCTAGGTCAATGTATGCAAAATGTTTACACGTAATCAATATTAAAAATATCGAGATTTTTACACTCTTTTTCTAGTAAGTCTTCAAAATCCAGCGAGTGTCTCACATGCCAACTTGTCCTGGCCACATTTCCACTGCTCAGTAGCCATGAGTGGCTACTGGCTACCTACAGTGCAGCCTCAAGGTAAAGGAATAAGGTCCCAAGATGTTCTGGGGTCACCTTCTATTTTTCCCTGCTCCGGATTTATAATCAGCTCTTTCTCCGAGAAGCCCCAGTTCCATTTATTGGAAAAGAGTTCCAATAAATGGACACTGGGTTTGCTCTTTGCTAGTGGGATGCCACTGTTTCTAGATCCCTCACAGTGGACAAAGCTAGGAAATGTGTGTGTGTGTTCTGTGTGTGTGTATACACGTATTATGTACACATACAATGTTTGTTTACCCATCTATATATCCACAAAATGTGTGTGTGTGTGTGTGTGTGTGTATATAGACATTTTAGTATCATATGTACATATGATGCTAAAATGCTAAACATGTCAGACGTCTCCGACTCTTACCTGGTGTCACAGGTTGGTCTTATCTTTCCCCCCTTGCTAATTTATAACTTTCATCTCTGATGGTGAAATATTATCCACTATTCATTTACTTATTTATTCATCCTAACATTGGGGTGACCAAAAAGTTCGTTTGGTTTTAAGTACAAATAAAAGACATTTTTCATTTTCACGAAGAACTTGATCGAACAACATATTCACTAACCGAACGAACTTTTTGGCCAACCATATATATATATGTCACATGAATGGAATCATACAATATGTAGCCTTTTGGTTCTGACATGTTTCATTTAGCAAAATGTATTTGAGGTTCATCCACATGGTTGAATAAATCAGTAGCTTATTCATTTTTGTCACTGTATAGCGTTCCAATGTATGAATACGGGAGTCTTCGTTCAGACTGCTGTAACAAAGTACCATAGACTAGGTGGCTTATAAACAATGGCAATTCGATTCTTACAGTTTTGGAAGCTGAAAGTCCAAGATCAGGGTGCCAGCATGATTGGGTTCTGGTGAGAACCGTTCTGCTGTCTTCTTGCTTCATCCTCACGTGACAGCAGAAGAGGGCCAGAGAGTCCTGGGGTCACTTTTACAAGGGCATTCATCCCATTTATGAATATCCCATTCTACTTTCATGACCTAATTACCTTCTGTGTTGGTCAATTTGATGTGTCAACTTGACTGGGCTAAGGGATGCCCAGATACATTATTTTTGGGTGTGTCTTTGAGGATGTTTCCAGAAGAGATTCTGGAAGAGATTGGGAGACTGAGTAAAGCCCATCACCCTCACCAATTCGGGTGGCATCATCCACCCTGTTTAGGGCCTGAATAGAGCAGAAAAGTGGAAGAAGGGTGAATTTGCTCTCTGGTTGAGCTGGGACGGCCATCTTCCCCCATCAGCACTCTTAGTCCTTGGATTTTCAGACTCGGACTGGCGATGACACCGCTGGCTCCTCCGGTTCTTGGCTTTCCTGGGCCTCCAACTTGCAGGTAGAAGGAAGACTGTGGGACTTCTCAGACTCCATAATCATGATCGTGCGAGTCAGTCGCTCCTCATAAACCTCCTTCTATATATCTCTGTATCTCCCATTGCTTCTGTTTCTTGGGAGAACCCTGACTAATACACCTCTCAAAGGCCCCAGCCCTGACAACATCATGTTGGGGATTAGGATTTCAACATATGAATTTGGGGACCACACACACATTCAGGCCGTTGTACTCAGTTTAACCATTCCCCTGTTGAGGGACATCTTGGTGGTTTCCGGTTTACGGGATCATTTACCCACAAGCTTTTCCAGGCACATAAATTTTCAGGTTATTTGGGTAAATACTCAGGAATGTGATTGCTGGGTCATAATGGTAAGTCGATGTTTGCCTTTAAAAGATTCTGCCAGACTATTCTGCATTCCCATCAGCAAGGTGAAGTAGAGTCTCTTTTGGTTTATAGCCTCACCAGGGTTTGATGTTGCCAGAGTTTTAAAAAAACGTTAGCTATTCAAATAGGTTTTAAATTGCCTTTTAGTACTTATTAACATAGATACATAGTCCTGTGTTTCTCTGTAAGTCACCTAGTTTCATTTTTCTTCCTTCCTGATTAAGACTTGCAAAACCTTCCTCTTATTCTACAAACTCTGAAGTTTCACCAGGATATCTATGGGTGGTCCCCTGCCCCCATTGTCCTTCTGATAGAAATACTCCAATCTTTCACAAGAGCTGAAAAATTCTGTTTTTATGCATTTAAAGCTTTGCTTTTTCTTCGCCCACACTAGTCTACTTGTGGGACTTCCGTTTTGTGGAATTTAGATCATCCATTTCTCTTTTTCATATACTTTTATTTTTCTGATGCTGGCATTTAATTTTTGCTTTCTGCTTTATAAAACCGTTTCAAGGAAGTCCCTAAATCACCATTATTTTTCTATAATCAATGTTTCCCTCATTTATTCGGGTCGCTATTGAGCTTTTTGTTTATTTCTTTGCTTTCCAATAGTTCCTTTTACCGAGCAACTTTATTGATTTTTATGGAGTACATATACTGAAGACATTAATGCAATTTTTAAAAGCACTGATCTCATCTTTTGGCTTCTGTCGGAGACCAAATGTCCTGTGTCTCCCTCATCCTTCTTGACTTGCTTATTCTCTTCATATCGTTTGGTCATTTGGGGCTGTCCATTCGTGTTCAGGAATGGAGGCCAGCATATCAGAATTAGTAACTAATGGAGCTTCCCTTATCATGTTTCCAGAATACTTCTGAGCTTCCTCTTGTGAGCTTCCCGTGAGTCCACCAGCTGTCTGTAGTGTTTTGTCCCAGAGGGCTGGAGAAGGGGGACCCTTCCTGGAAGAAGGTGGTTGAGTCTAAGCCAGTTAACAAGTTTTTGTCTGTCTTGTTTTGTTTTTTACTAACCTACGGATAGGGGCCTTGGGGGCTTTCTAAGAGTAAGGTGGTTGGCCTGGAGGTACTGTGAGATTAGAAGTACAAATTCACTTTCTGTCTTGTCTGTGCCAAGTAAAGGCCTCAAGAGGACAAATGTCTTAGTCTGTAGCTCTATGTGTGGTCCTGGAAGCCACAGTATTTGCTTCTCATGACGGTTTTCCAATGGATTCAGTCTCCATCTGTGGTGGTGAAGTCTAAAGAGTGGTTTTATCCAGTTAGTTGTTTTAGAACTAATTAGAAGCATAGGGAATGGCCACGGATGTTATATTAGTTTCCTAGGGCTGCCCCAAAGAAGGAACACAACAGAAGCTTATGCTCTCACAATTCTGGGAGATGCAAGTCTGAAATTAAGGTGTTTGTGAGGTTTGTTCTTTCTGGAGGCTCTCGGGGGAGAATCTGTTCCCTGTTTCAGTCCAAGTTTCAGGTGGTTGCCAGCAACTCTTGGGATACTTTAAGGGCCTGTAGATGCATCACTCCAGTCTCTGCCTCTATCTCCACATGATGTTCTAACCTGTGTATCTGTGTGTCTGTGTCCAAATTCCCTTCTTGCTCTAAGCATGCCAGTCCTAGCGAACTTAGAGTGCACCCTAATACAACACACATGACCTAATTTAACTTGATGACATCTGAGATGGGAGAGGGAGCCCCGGGGGTCTTCTTTTTGCTTTGGTTGAATGCTTGGCATGGGTACAATAGACTCATTTCTGGATCTGATATAATTTGATTAATATGGTACGAAAGTCCTTAAGGGTTTTATTCCATCATTTCTCTTGTTTTCCCTCACTCAGATATCTCCCTTTTTCTTCTTTTTGTATTTCTTTGGTCATTTTAATGAGACTTTAGGCAGCAGGAAAATAAATTCTTAGGCTTAGTTTCCCATCTTCATGGACACTGAAGACAGTGTCTTACATCTCTTACAAGGTTTTAAACCTTGTGCTTGCACTTAGCAGGCATTCCATAAGTATTTTTAAATGAATTTGTAATTATAGACATGAAATATGCATAAGTCAGTGAAGGAGAATTTTGGAGGGGAAAACCTCTTATATGTCTAAAATCACATGGCACGCCAATTGGTGAGATTAAAACGGATGGAGAAGAGACGAGAGGGAAGTGTAAATATAAATATCGAACACTGTTGTGTGGCAGGAAATACAAAAGCACTATTGCAAAAGTCATTTAGTTTTCACAACAATTCTAGGGGCCCCGAATTTCTCCCATTTTATAAATATGGAAACAGAATAAGTAACTCGTTAAGTCAAAGTTTATAGCGACTAAGCGATAAAACCAAGAGTCCAACTCAGGTCCTCCTGAGTCAAATCTGTGTTCTTCCTATAACACCTTCTTCTTATTCCTGTGGGGTCATGTCAGTTCTCCCACCGTTCCTTACATAATTTGGGGAAACATTGCTCATCTTGTCTCATATGTGGCATTTACAGACTTATCAATGATTTCTGAAGAATCTGCCAACCCTGACTTTATAACTGGGAAAGTCTCTTGACTCAACTATTCTGTGAAACGCCGACAGTAAATCAATGTGGCTTCACTCATGGGGAGGGGAGCCCTGACCATGTGGCTTGGCATGAGGGCACTGAGAATTTTCACACCTGTCCTTCCCCAGCTAGGTCTTATTTATCAGTTTCCTGACACTTCTCAACCAGACTGTCTTTCTTTTTTAAACACATGCTTGTTGAGTGCCCAGGAGCTGTTCTGTGCAGGCTCTGGAAACTTTAGGGAAACACACTTGTCATACCAGAAGCAAGTGTCATTCTGCTCATCATGAAGGGTGAGATAGTTTTAGTTTTGTGGATAAACTCAACAGCAGTGATTGGTCAGCTGACCCACTTCCACAATGCCGAAAAAGGAAAATGGTGTGAGGATGAAAATAGGGTAGTGAGAAGGGGTTAAGGAGAAGAATACAAAACGTTTGGGGCTTCCCTGGTGGCGCAGTGGTTGAGAGTCCGCCTGAGGATGCCGGGGACACAGGTTCGTGCCCCCGGTCCGGGAAGATCCCACATACCGCGAAGCGGCTGGGCCCGTGAAGCCATGGCCGCTGAGCCTGCGCGTCCGGAGCCTGTGCTCCGCAACGGGAGAGGCCACAACAGTGAGAGGCCCACGTACAAAAAAAAAAAAAAAAAAAAAAAAAAAGAATACAAAACGTTTTACCTCGTTCACTTGAGCTCGAAGCTGGTGACTCCCAATCAAGTGAGGCAGTCGGTTGGCAATTTCCATCCAAGGTCTATAGTGATCAGGGAGCTCTTTCTGCATTGAAAAAATAAAAATGTCTCCGTATTTTAGACCTCTCTGGGAAGCAGCTTCGTGTAGTAGCTGTTTTCAGATTTCAGTCTTAAGGCAGAATTCAGGTCAATTCCATTCAACAAATACTGAGAATTCACCATCTGCTGTACCCTGTGCTAGGCACTGCGGATACACAGGTGACTAAAATACAGTCCTTGTGGTGAGGGAGCATATGGTCTAGTAAGGATAAATAAAATGTAATCAGACATACCCAATGCGGTATAATATGTTCAATTAAGGATATGTGTAAGCGTAACAACCAGCTGAAGAGGAAGTCGTTAATTCCATAAACTGTGCTAGGGAATTAAAGGGAAGTGTTCATAGAAATATGATAGTTGGGGCCAGTAGTAGGGTCTGAAAGTGACTTTTCTAGGTGGAACTTTTAAGATGGGAAGCCAGTGAAACAGAGGAGATAGTGGATAAATAGAGATAACTGTGCTTCTTGGGATTACAGATGATTCAGTGTCACTAGAATATAAAGTTCAAGAGAAAGGATGATGGAAGATTTGACCAGAAAATCAGATCAAATATGCTTTTTATTGACTATATAAGAATTTTATTTTTTATGTATGTTGGTGACATGATTCAATCTGAATTTTAGGAAGATAACTTTGCTTTGGGATTTTAAGGTATAAAGTCAGATTAGGAAACCTTTGAAATACTGTCTGAAAATTAAGCTTAGGCAATGGCAGTGAATTTGGAAAGGAGAAGGTATGTATTCAAAAATATTTGGAAAATAAAATTGAAATAATTAAATTTAGGGGCAGGGATGGGGCTAAAGGTGAGGTGATCCCTAGCCCAATAGCACAGTTTATTTGCCCACTCTGGGTCGTTGGTTTAGCCAAGAAGAACACAGGTTGGATTTCAGCAGCCCTGACTCTATCCCAAGAAATGGCAAACTGCAGCAAACTACACTCGTAAATAAGCTTTTATTAGGACACAGCCAAGTTCATTTGTTTCCACATTGTCTACAGTGGCTGTCACTTTACAATGGCAGAGTTGCATAATGGCAACGGAGATCATATGGTCTGCAAAGCTTAAAATATTTACTATTTGACCCTTTACAGGAAAAGTTTGCCAACTCGTGACCTGTCCCCAGGGTCTGGGCCTCCTTTTACAGAGTACAGTCTGCAAGACTGAAATGTTGTGTCTCTGGGTTAAGAAGGAGAGGCGGTGAGGATGATTTCCATGTTTCTGAATCAGATGACTGAATGAATTGTTGAGAAGACAGACTGAAACAGAAATGCAGGTGGAAGTCAAAGAGAGGACATACAATAGTGAATTTGTTTTTACATATGTCCAACCTAAAATATCTGTGGAATGTCAAGATATGGCTATGTACTCGGCAGCTGGATGTACAGTTGGAAGCTCAGGAGAGAATTAATATTAGAAATATACAATCGGGAGGCATCACGGTAGTGCAAATTCTGCATTGTGGTAAAAACCACAGGTGGGTACAAGACCATTCGGGAGAAGTTGCCAAGTGGAAGGAGAAGGCTTAGATCAGCGCACTGGGGGGATACTTACAAGGCAGGCAGAGGAACCGAATCCAGCACAAAAAGACATGTATAGAGGCTAAATGAGCCAGAAGAGAATCACCCTATGGAAGCCAAGACATTAGAGGATCTCTCGGAAGCAGGGATTCATCAGATGGCCAAATGCATCATTTAAGTGAGGTTACCCCTTTGGAAGACAAAACTAAAGAGTCGCTAATATATCAATATATACACCAGTCTTTCCATGTATATGGCATAGAAATTCAGGTCAGGGTCATGGAAACAGGGTTCAAATTTTAGTGTGCTGAGGAGGGAAGAAAACAGAGATTGGAAACGTGAATTAACTTTTTTGGGAGAGCCATAAGCCGTCACAAGGCGACAGTTTGTGTTTGAGAGCTGTTCCCACTTTCGAATGGGAAACTTGAGCGGTTTACAGCCTGCTAGTGTAAGAGGCGGAGATTGAAGAGAAAGGAGAGAGGGAATAATTAAAAGTAAAGGGTCGTGAGGAAGAGGAGGAGGAGAGGAAGAGCCCAAATGCAGCGCCTGGCTGCGAAGAGCTGGAAGGAGAAAGTCTGGAGTTTGAGGGATTCATTTCTTATGAACTCAATTTCTCCACAAATGGTGAAGATTCAGGTTACATGACTTGGGGAGAGGGGTGGGTGTTCAATTAATTATCGGAGGGAAGGGAAGAGGAAATTAAACATAAACATGCAAACAACATAATATATTGCAATATAGAATATGTGTATTATAATACACTATAATGACTTTCAAAACCCAGGGAAGTTTGAAAACTATAAGTTTGGAGTGCTGTAGATCTGTAAGTTACCAATAAGTCACTTGCTGGAGATCCTCTGTCTCTCAGACTCTAAAATAAAACTGGGTGAATCTAACATCCAATACACAATCTTTGAAAATTATAGACTTTATTTAATCCTCTGCTTCCTATCTTTGCCCCTGAATCAATTTAGGACAAATTGGGCACCCTTTACTAGCTTTCCCAACAAATCAAATTACACCAAACATCATAATTTAACATTTTTAATATAGATATTGTGCAGGAGGGGGAGATTTTACCCTCTACTCCTCTTGAGTTCTTGTGTCAGGAGTCAATAAAATTGACACAAAACAGATTAACAGGAGAAAAAGAAAGAAATTTTAGTTTGTGCGTACAGAGGTCTCATAGAAATGGGACCTAAGAAGTGGCCAAAGCAGGCTTTTATACTTTGTAGACACAGAGACAATAAATCTGTGAGGAGTGGACAAGACAAAGAGACTTAGGCTTCAGGTGCTTATCTAAACAGAGTTTGGTCTTGGGGTCGTCAATTAAAGAAGTAACAGGGTTTTATTTATTCAGGCTTCTCGGCTTGAATTCCCTACCTCTGGTGGTAAGGGTGTCCTATCTCCAGATGCGTGGAGGGTACCTTTCATAGGAGAGATTTATTTCCTGCTTTTAGGGAGTCAGAGAAGAGGGTCAAATTTCCTCTTAAATTGACTGTTTCTTAAGTAACTTTCACCCAAAATAATCAATATGCATTGAGGCATATTCATGGGTGACTTGCCCCGGGCCCCAACAATACAGATATTCACAAAGAGGAAATCACACCGTTCTCCTCATGCATTCCGCATCCAGTACCTCAGCTTCTGAGAGGTAGAGTCCACTATGCTCCCCTACTCTTCTCCCAGAGAGAACATTTATAAGCATAATGGTATAATTTTCCCTAGCAGTGCTCAGCGGTAGTGCAGAATTGAAGAAAGCCGCTAATTGACCCGAGTTTGGGGATGTACAGAGCAGTGGCCCAGCTGAGAATGCTCGCGCACATAAAGGCAGAGAGATTTATGGTAAACTGACTCTGAACTGGCAACTTGTTTTTCTTCTCATTTATATGATGCATACGTTTTATGAACAAAAACTGAATGCAGCTACAGAGACAAAGGAATATGATATTTATAAAAGAAAATCACAGAAGCAGACTCATAGTATTCAGAACCCCTTTTAAAGTGGGTTTGAAGAAAAGCTGTAACTAAATCTGTCCTTCCTTCTTTGATGCCTAGAGAGGGGATCGTATTCTGAGAATTAAATTAGAGCATCCTGGAGAATTCCCTGGCAATCTAGTGGCTATGACTTGGCACTTTCACTGCGGTGGCCCAGTTTCCATCCCTGTTTGGGGAACTACGGTCCTGCAAGCCATGATGAATAGCCAAAAAAAAAAAAAAAAAAATTAAAGCATCTTGGATTTCTGCTTCCTGGCTTGCATGGGAATCCTTAAATACTACATTTTGCCTCAATCTAAGCAGCGCTCTATTCTTGAATATCTCTTTTTCTTTCCCCTTAGATTCCTAGAGGCTTCTTTTCCTTCCTTCTTCTCTTCATCCTCTCCCTTCTTTCAACAGTTCTAGTCTTTGGACTCTGGTATCACCCCACAAATGTAAGAAAACCATGAGCTTTGAGAACCTCTGGGCTCTCCGAGTGTGGTTCCCATCCAGCAGCATCAGCATGATGTGGAAACTTGTTAGACATGCAAATTCTCGGGCTCTACCCCAGACGTACTGAACCTGAAACCAGCTGCCTGTGCTTTAGCAAGTCCTGTAGGTGAAGCTAATGTACCCCAAAGTTTGAAAACCACTGATGTGGGGACCTCAAAGGAAAGGGAGAAAGGATTTTAAAGCTAGTTCATAATCCATTAAAAATGTATTCACCCTAAGTGTCCATCGACAGATGAATGGATAAAGAAGATGTGGCACATATATACAATGGAATAGTACTCAGCCATAAAAAGGAATGAAATTGAGTTATTTGTAGTGAGGTGGACGGACCTAGAGTCTGTCATACAGAGTGAAGTAAGTCAGAAAGAGAAGAACAAATACTGTATGCTAACACATATATATGAAATCTAAAAAAAAAAAAAAAAGAAATGGTTCTGAAAAACCAAGGGGCAGGACAGGAATAAAGATGCAGACGTAGAGAATGGACTTGAGGACACGGGGAGGGGGAAGGGTAAGCTGGAACGAAGTGAGAGAGTGGCATGGACATATATACACTACCAAACGTAAAACAGATAGGTAGTGGGAAGCAGCTGCATAGCACAGGGAGATCAGCTCAGTGCTTTGTGACCACCTAGAGGGGTGGGATAGGGAGGGTGGGAGGGAGACACAAGAGGGAGGGGATATGGGGATATATGTATATGTATAGCTGATTCACTCTGTTATACAGCAGAAACTAACACACCATTGTAAAGCAATTATACTCCAATAAAGATGTTAAAAAATAAAATGTACTCACCCTTTCAATGGGATTTTCCTCTAGAGACTGAATAAAATATTGAATTATGTTACTTACTTTTTGATTGCCAGATTTTGTTTTAAGTTACAGTATGGGGGGACAGGATCAGCTGACGAGTTTTTCACTAAATAGCACCCCTTTTGGTATTAGTTAATACTTATCTATCACATCTATTTCAAAACCTA